CCATAAGAAGACAAAAAGAAAAAAATGAACATAATGTGTTACACATGGAGTTTTTTTAATTTATTTTATTTATTTAACCTTTATTTATCCAGGCAAACTTTGAGACCCACTTCTCATTTACAAACATGACCTGGCATGCACTGAGTGCATTGCAGTATACAAACCTACATATTCAGCCATAATTGTAAATTTTAATTGTGATTAAATTTTTTAATCCATGCCCATGCAGCACTAAAATTAATCAGAGTTAACTCGATTAATAATTTCACAGCCCTAAAAATAAAMCAAGTGTACCCAACAATTAGACAGCGTTTAATGTTGATCTTTCATTTGTCTCTGCAGCAGCATCCATCATTTACCACACTACATCTGCATCCTTTTCCTGTTCCTGCTCCACGTGCTGTAGGCTACATGTTGGGTGCTGGTACTGCATAACATGGAGCACAGGCGTAGGAAGCCGGGGGGACGTACGTGCCCCCTTATCCCACACCATGGATGAAAAATACTTGATTTTGAAGTCTTTAACGCGCGTGCTTTTATTTTGAAGGCGCAACCCAGCGTCATTTCGCTGCCTACCACTAATGAGGTAAAACTGTCTGTCACAGTAATGCTGCTGTGAATATTTCTTGTTTATAACGTCTTGTTGTCAGTTTACTTTCATAAGCAGAAGTTGAATCTTTTTGATTCAAACATCTGGGTGCTCAATCATCCATATTTACTGTAACTGCTTTGTCTAGAAGTTCACAGTATGCAAAATGTTTTAGTAATTTTCAGCACATAGCCACCACCTGCTAAAAGACTAGAACAGCAGAAGCAGGACTTTTTTTCAGAGTAACAGTTACACAACATAAGGACAACACCTAGAACCATGACACAGCTCAGCTGATCATAGTTTATCAACATGTATGACGTTATATTAGATATTATGTGCTATGGTATCTTATCAAGAGAATACATTTGAAGCAATGAAAGGCGGAGACATGGAGGCAGCTCAGGCAAGGTTTTAAATTAGTTTAGTGAAATATGTATTAGCTTGTTATTAATCCACATAATACTCCCGTATGGAATAATATGTTTTGTTAAGTAGAAAATCTATATTTTTACAAATCTTGTTTTCAAAAGATGTCACATTTTATGAATGATAACGGTGAGATATTATTGTTCAACAAGGATTTTATTTTTAATTCACTATTGCTTTTCTGGTTAAATAGGATCTGCTTTACTCCAAAATGTTCCCTGCTCTGGGTCAACTTTATATAGAAAACATAGAGTTTAAAGATTAAAAAATGACAAGTTTATGAGAAGAATTTTACAGAAAGATTTGTTCCTGGGTCAGGTTAAGCGACGGTATATTCTTGAGTTTAGAATGGATGTTATCTCTAAAACTAGGACAAAATATATTTAGTTCCCTCTTCCTCCTAGGAAGGCCATTTCAAAATTAGAAAAGACATTTACCCAATCAGTGCTTTTATCAGAACAAGATTTAAATTTGACACTGCTGGGTGCACATTCTGTGAAGAGGATTTAGATAAACCTTTTTTTTTTTTCATTGTAATATCATTCAAGGCTTCTGGAGCAGTGTGTGGAGTGACTCCAGGCTAAATGAATTCAACTTCCACRTTTAATTCAATAATAGAATTTGGTATTCATTGTCGAAACTCGAAAATACCATTTTTAATTAATGWTATGGTGTTGCTGGGAAAGTTTTTGTTAATAAATGTAGGTTCTTTATAATTAAGCCAAACCTGTGTCAGTGGAGAAATTACCAGAAAAAAAATTGTGAGTCTCTTAATCTGGTGAAAAATAAATCTGCTTAACAATTTAATACTTTGATTAACAACTTTGATTTAATGTAAACCTCTTTGTTTGATGATTTTATTTATTTTTAATTTTATACTAATTGTGTTGCTTTGTTACTTTGAATATAGAAAACTGAACCTGTGAAATCTATTACTTTGTTGTTGTTGTTGTTGTTGTTGTTGTTGTTGATGTTGATGGTGATGATGTTTGTTTGCTTTTGCTATGTTTTGTTTGTAAACTTGTTCTCAATTAAATAAAATTAAAAAAATTATGTTTCAGTAACTCATTATTTCAAAATAAGAGTCTTTTTTTTACATTACAGTCAGAACATTACAATACTGGTCCCCTGAAGCAATATGTTTTCAACTAAACTATTATTATTCCTCATTTTAAACTCAATATCTGAGCAATGTTGAACAAAACGTTGAAAAACGGATAAATCTTATCATTTATTTTTCAAATGAAGCCTTTATTAGAAATATGAACAGTGACAAAGCAAATCTGCTAATTAAATTTGACGTATAAACAAATACTCATTTCATTCTTCAAAAACGGTAAAACGGTCCGATATTTTTTATTTTTTAAAAACTAAACATTTAACTACATTTAATGTGGTACCAAAACGGCTGCCTGTAAATAATGCAGCCCATGAAAAACACGCCCCCTGGGAAAAAATGAACGTCACTTCCGACGCGCGCGAGACAAGCTAGCAGTGCAGCTAACAACAAACAGTTGACATCTAAGAACACAGAAGGATGCACCATTTTTACAGCATATTTTAAAAAGTGCGTGGTCATTCTTGTGGTGTTTAGTTTGTTGAAAAATGCCGAAGCATCTCCGCAAAGAAGTCCGCTCGGTTGTTGACACCCTTTAGTGCTAACTTTTTTTTCCCTTCCTTTTTTTTTCTTGTCGTTTTCGCAGAAGTTTTCCCTCTGGGATGCATTAAGTACCCCTCCCTCCTTTCTGCTTCGTGTCGGCATTATTGAGCCGGGCTTCGGTGCTCGGTAACCGGTCGCGATGAAGCTGCAGTGTGATGTGGAGGTGTTGAGTCGACTGCTTCCGACGTACGGGATGAAAAGTCGGGGTAAGGGGTCGCGAGCGGTGGTCTCCATCGGGAAGCACCCGGACAAGTCGAGTCAACGCAGTAACGTTTACATGATGATCTGCACGGCCAAAGACAGGACGGGATCGAAGTATAAGGTGTGTACACGGGTTTTAGAGTGTTTGTGTTAAATTACTATTTGGTTATTTTTGTCACAGTACTCTGTGTATTATATTATTTTATGTCTGTGTGTCGTGTTTTTATCCCGGGTTAAATCCAGGGCTATTATTAGGTCTGAAGTTTTTAATACAGTTTTAATTATTAAATAATCTAAATATTATGTGTCAAATTGAAAGTCCCCGGGCCATAAATGGCCCTTGATACAAACTTCTGGCCAGTGAACAATATTATTGATAGACTGGATCACCAATCACAGATATATAATGTCTCAAATGTGATGTTTTAATTAAAACTATTTGTTGTAAATACTATACAGTGTTCTCATAAATCTGTATAAATAATTAGACATATGTAACCCATCATGTCGAAAGGAGGATTAAGTCAAATTTGGTCAAAATGACCTAACCACATTTTCAAATTCCTGGCTTTAAAAGCTACACTTTGATACTTAGATCATCCTGATATCATAAGCACTTCCTGAAATATGACTTAATTTGTCTTGTTGGTTACGATGATACATAAATATTTGGTCTGAATCCTAATTTTATGTAATTATAATGAGGTTTTTTTTAATGTTGTAAAGAAGAAACCTCAAATAGTATTTGAGTAGTGAGACCTCAGCTGGAAAGAAATAAAAGCTTTGCTAGCTCACTGGGAATATCTCAAAATTTAAGGCGTTTTCCCTATAATCATTTTATTTTATTTTATTTTTATTTATTTTTTGTTGTTGCTAATGCTCAAAAAAGTGCTTAAATTGTTGTTGTTGTTTAGGATTATATTTCAGACAGTTCATTCAAATGATACGTTGATGAGGCGTTTGTTATACGTTGACAAAGTGCAATTTTTGCAAATGTTTTCATCAAAACACTACCTATTTCTCCACATACCACTTTTAGACTTAACCCTTGTTTTGTTGTGATTGGTCACATGTTTCATCTAAAAACAGAGATCAATTTAGATTTTTTTTACACAAACATTGACTGAGATTGGCTCTTGACATGGACTATGATTTTAATTCAGGCCCTCTGTTAAAAGGAGTTTGATCTGATAATGTCTTGAGTCTTTAAAGAAAGTAGAATATGTAGAAAACAAGCATCGAATAATCAAAAAGTGACATAAAGTTGGCCAAATAATTCCTATGTATTTCTTAAATTGCGGTTTGGTTTAAGAGAAATTGTTTTATTCAGTGTCGCCTCTCATCGAGAAAATTGGAGAAATCTAGCTCAGAATTTCATTATTTATTGTCTTTTTCCACATCAGATGACTTGTTAGATATTTGGTGTCAAAATTTGCCTCTAAGGGTTCCAAAGAACCCTGAACCTCTGATTTAAAAGGGCTTTTAAATCTGTTGACTAAACGTTGCAGTTCTTTCACAACATCTGTCCAGACTTGTTCCAGGAATGAATCACTCGTGATGCGTGTCTGTCCAGCTTTAAGTTCTGAAATCAGTTTTTTTCCACTTTGCTAATTTATTTTTCCAGCTAAAAGACAACATCGAGAAGTTTTTTACTTGGTTCGTGGAAGAAGGCAAGGCAACTGTCAGGTTAAAGGATCCAGCTGTGGACATTTGTCTGAGCAAGGTAATCTAACCGTTCACTTCAGAGTCAGGGGTCAGACTGTTCAAACGCRCATTGATCAACCACACACAAAGCCTGTATATGGTCAGAACACAAGGACAGACACTAAAACAGAAGCTGTCCTTGTGCTTTATTTGTAGTTGTGCTAAAACACATAACAGATCTGAAAAAATATAAGTTTAAGCAATATATTAACCTCACTATAATTACCCTATCACGCCACACTATCAAACACTTACAGACATTAAGAATTATTCTCCCTTGTGCTCACAGCTGTAATCCCAACAGCATATCTTGTTCACAGAAAAGAACCATGTCAGTGTATTCTAGGCCAGTGAAATCAGGTTYGGTATTTCCAGGAATTCGTTCACACACAACCAACCACAGAAGATCGTGAGCATCATTTTTGTATTACCAGACCCAACCTATTGACACGCCTGTGACGTCTTTGTAGGCCGACGCAAACAGCTTGAAGAGCTTCCTCGCTGCGGCTCGACTGGCGGACCGAGGGAGCGACACGAGCAGCCTTCCTCTGTCCACGCTCACGCCTGTTCGTGCCAGAGACGTGGAGCAGCTAAAGAAGAAGCTCACCATCGTGTCCAGGAAGGATTACCCCCTCGCCTCCAGCTTRCCTTACTCCCTGGAGCAGCTGCAGGTCTCGTACTGTAAACTCTCACGAGTCGACATGCGCATGCTGTCCCTCAAAGGTACACTGAGTTCAGCCGGTTTTTGACAATGTGCTAAAAATGGTTCCCAACCTATTTTCCTCAAAGCCCCCCCTTTCTTACTTCCAAGTCAACCTGACAACCCCACCACCCGCACACATTACAAATAAGTTGAGGATAGTTATTGTTGTTTATTGAAAATACACACTGTCAGTTAAAATGTAATCATATTAAAATTGCATGTAGTCTAATATAATGTTCACACAAACAAATTTATAAACACACATTTGACCATCACAGTAACTTATATTAATATGTCACAACTAAAGCTGTGTTAAATCTAAATCAAAAACACATTTTCTTGATAGCTCAAAGCGCAAATAATACTATACACAATTACACAAATGCTTAAAATTACAATAGCAAACAACTTACCAGACTGAGCAATGTATTTAACTATAACCAGGGGGCGCATAAGCGGTGCGCAGGTACGATTAAAAAAAGAAAAAGTGCACCAGATGGAACGTCATATAGGTCTCTTGTGTATCTAAGATTGTACCTGATTGTCTGTCAAAACAACAGCTAGCAGGGCTCTAGAGTGRGACCAGTTTGGTCGCAAATGCGACCTGATTTCTTAAAAAAATTTATAAATCCAGTCGCACTGGTGTGACTGGATCATTGTTCGGTGCTCACCAAGCCTCTAAGGACAGCGGGACCCTGATATAAGGATTAAACGGACACTGCTTTCAACAAATCAGATGAAGTCCAGAGCCGTTTCATCCAATCAGAGCAGAGCAGGGCGGGACTTTCAGTGAGAGCAGTTTTCAGCACAGATAGGTTGAAGCAGCGGCTCGACTCAAACAGCGGCWGCAGCGGTCAGTCCTGACATCTCCTCCTGCACTTTGCTCCTGAACTACCAGAGACTTTGGTCTGTAAAACCATACTTTATATTAAATATGTGTTCAGAGCGTTGTTATCAAACAGATCTGTCCAACTCTGTGTGAGCGACTAAACTCTCCTCCTGATGAGAGACTGCTGTGATGGGAGCGCGTCGCTGCGCTTGCAGGCTGAGTCTGTGTGAGATTCATTGTTTGAGTTCTTCTAATTAAATCACATTAACTCTAACAGAACATTTGTTTGCCCCATATTAAAGCAAAGATGTTTAACACCCTCGTCAAAAAATTATATATATTTAAAAAAAATTAAAACTTGCCATGTTCTCTAGGTGACTGAGTTTTAAATGTTATTTTAATTTATCATAAAGATCCACACATTTCTTTCACAATTATATAAAAAAAACAAGGTTCTTGATGTGCTGAACTTGTTTATATTTAGGACCATACTGTGACACAGCTGCTCTGGGATAAATGTAATTTATTAAATGATCAAATATGAAGAATAAATGATTGCATGAGCTGAAACCATCGAAATAATATAATCTTTTTGAATAAAATAGTTTTTTTTTTAAAGAAATCAGTCTAATAAATAAAACATTTGTATGTTTTTTGTTATTTTGCTCTGTGCAAAAGACAGATATTTGCTGCTTGGACTGGAGAGTGTGGAAAGCTGGTTTAACCAAGGCTGAAGTGAAGACCAAACAGGAGCTGTCCATCTGAGGGGCGTGTCGTCTAAAAGACATTTAACCATGAAACGTTCAGTTTGTGATGTTTAAATGACATACATCGAGCCCCTCGGCCACTAGTTTACAAAATTTATGCAGAGTAAAAAAATAAAATAAAAACTTGGACTGATTTGGCATGATGCCCTGAGACATTGCAGCTGATATGAGTCATAAAACAGAACAGGGGGAGGTTAGATGCCCTGATGCCCCTATAGATAAATGTGTTAAATGGGCGAAGGAAAATATGAGCACCAAGCAACAACCCCAGGTTCTCCCCTGAGAACCAAAGTTTTCCTTTTTTATATACTGTATATGTTTGCTTCATTTAAAATAACATTCTGGTTCACACAAAGTCCTTCAAAACAAAAGTAATCAACCTAAAACGACTCCTAGTGGACTGGAGGGACACCCCACCTCRAACAAAGATGCAGTAAACCTTTATTCCTTTATCAAAAGTGAAAACTTCTAAACGTTTATTGGAAAAAGACAAAAAAGATGAACTGAGTTGTACAGAGTTTGAATTATTCAGAGGGACTTGTTTTGATGACAGCTCTAATTCATTGCTTTGTTTTCCTCCAGCTCTGCGCAGGCTGGACCTCAGCAACAACCACATCAAGAAGCTCCCCGCCACCGTCGGCAACCTCGCCTGCCTCTCGGAGCTCATCCTTCACAACAACCACCTGGAGGCCTTCAGCGAAGCCCTCTGCCTGTCCACCCTGCAGCGGACCCTCCAGGTCCTGGACCTCAGCCAGAACCGCCTGCGGTCGCTGCCCGCCCGCTTCTGTCAACTCCGAGAACTCGTCAACCTCAAGCTGGACGACAACAAGCTGGTTTGCTTGCCGTTCCACGTGGGGCGGCTCGCCAAGCTGAGGTTCCTGTTCGCTGCTCACAACCAGCTCACCGTTCTGCCTTGTGACTTCCGTAAGCTGAGTCTGGAGAACTTGGACCTGTTTGGAAATCCCTTCCTTCATCCCAATCCTCTGGACCACACGATGCAGCTGTCGTTTCCCCTGCCTCTGCAAGAACTAGCCTCCAGGGCTGTGACTGAGCTCAGGTTAGCTTCCAACTCCCACATGTACCGTGTCTGCTGAGTCCTCGCCGCTAACAAACCTCTCCTCTTTGATTCCCCTCCCAGGATTCCTTACGGACCTCGCCTCCTTCCTGCACATCTGTGTCGAGACCTGGAATCAGCCAAAACGTGCGAGTGCGGCCGCGTCTGCGTCAGCTTCTACATCGAGACGGCGGTGCGCATGAACCTGCACCAGGTGTCCCACACGGTGGTGCTGGTGGACGACATGGGGGGCACGGACGCACCCGTGCAACAGCACTTCTGCTCCCTCTCCTGTTACTCTGAGTTCTTAGACAACTCCCTGCAGCGAGGCGTGAAATGAGAAAGCAGACGTCTTTGACCTGAATACACGGTGACGTTTGGGCGTTGATTGTGTTTTTGTGCAGACTSTGAAAGAGACGTAGCTCCATGTTTAGAGTGGATTCAGTCAAGTTGTGCTTTTAACAGTGCTTCAAAGAGTTATTTTTATACAGAATTAAACTAACTCAGGACCAGCTCCATTTGCACCAGAGTAGCACCGACTTCCTGCAGTAACTCACAAGTTCTGAGCTGCTGCTGAGTTTTAGACATTATATATTTTTTGTTTCTTTGTTTTGTTTTCTCTTTCTTTTAGAGCAGACTACAGGTTCACATTACCTACTTCTTTCAGGCAGGGTAATAAAGACATAACTTGTTGCCTCAAGGTTTATAAACGGGTGATAAAGTGATTTGACTATTACTTTGTTAAAAACCGTGAGTTTTTATAAATGCAAAAAGAATAAAAGCATTCATTGTTACATGTTTAGTAGTTTATTCATAAACATTTTAGTATAGTAGTTAGAAGCAAATTCTGTTTTCTCCTGAGGTTTTAACAGGAGGATGCCTTCAGATCGACACGAAGCTCTTGATAAATTTGATAAAGTTGTTTTTAGTCTTGTGGGCGTGCTGGAAAAGGATTTACTAGTATTAACTTTTAATAATTTGTGTTAAAAAGCAGGTAATTCTTATATAAATTTTTAACTTTATCAACAAAATTGCAATTTAAATTGTAAAAATGAAAGAAATGAGTACTTTGGAATACAGTACCAGAATATAAATGGGCCTATGTTAATATTGAAGACTTCTAAGGGTTTTCTTCTGTTTTTTTTCTCATTCGTGACATTTTTTAAGAAGTTCACGACATTTAAAAAGGTGTATATCCTACATTTTAAGTTAATTTATTCACACGTTTTTTTTTTATTAGCAACTTTGCAAATCTTACAAAAAATTCCAGAGAGTAGATCAAAAACAAAGGAAGTACTATAAAGGAACAGAAAAACAAAAAAATGAGAATTACAGGACAAGGTTGTACATACTACAGATACTTTTCGTTTTTACAGCCTTCTTGTTTCAGTCTGAGATTYCATTAAAATACAATTTTACATCCATTGCAAAGAGGTCAAAAAGTGGTTTTCTATGCATTATTTTACTTTTATGAATATGAAACTGCCAGAAACAAAATCAGATTGATAATATATACGGCAGAAGAGTCTTTCACTTTAAAAWCTGTGATACCAAACATAACATTTCCAAAATACAATGAGAAATCAGGTTTGATAGTGGAAATAAGAGCAGTAATGTCTTTTCAAAAGTTCTGTGAGCAGGTACATTTCCAAAAAAAAAAAAAAGTGAACAGATGTTCCTGGATAAAGTTTACAGAAAAACAGGAAGTATCAATATCAGCTTTGTACTTCTGTAGAAAATGTTTGGTTGGATAAAATTTGTGAATTAGTTTAAAAGAAATTTCTTTAACCTTATTGGTAAGAAAAAAATTCATGTGGAAGAGACCAGCTTTTAAGGTTTTGTTAGTTCCAGTAGGAAACAGCAGATGGGGATTAAACTATATCTTCTTGAAATAAAGATCTGATTTTAGAATTAATGCCTTTTACCAACAGAGGAATGTCTCGGGTCAGAACGACTCATGGACTGAAGAGATTTTTTTTTTCAAAACTTTATTTGTATTCTTTGATACAATTACAAATAAAAGGAAAATGACATCGGCAGAAACAAACAATCTACAAAGAACATGTAGCAAATTAAAATTATACAATAACCAATAACCAAGGCACTATAATTTTTGTCTATTACAGTCAAATCCAGAGTGGATTCTCCTTAGTTTTAGTTAGTTTCACATATAAATTAAAGTCTACTAAGAAAACATGAAGTTTGGGAGAGATCTGAAGAACCTTGCCTTATGTYTATTTAATTTCCCTAAGAGGATKATTAGATTAATTACGAAGCACAAAATTTTATCCATACATTCAAACCATCTTTAGGCCTGATTTGGARAATGTGTTTAATTTTTATCCTTGACAAATGTCTCCATGTCCCTCCAAAATCCAGGAGAGTGACAACTGCAAAACAAACGTAACATGGTCTCTGATTCGACTCGACAAAAGGAACAATTTTCATCAATATCCTTAAACGTCGACAACTTTTTTGTTACATGGGAAAACACTAAAATTTTAAAATCAAGCTCTCTTATTTGAAACAAAATATTGAAAGTATGTTTATTCCCCCAACTTATATTAACAAACTGTGCATTCCAAAAAAAAAATGTTTTTAAACATGAGCAAACCAGATGTGAGGGCTTCAAATACAAGACTATACTCTCTTTGAGTGACAGGAAAATTGTACTAATATAATATAATATAATATAATATAATATAATATAATATAATATAATATAATATAATATAATATAATATAATATAATATAATATAATATAATATAATATAATATAATATAATATAATATAATATAATGAATTCTGTGTGGCTGTGTTAAAGACATTTGTTGATGTGTTTGCACGTGTTCGTTGCATCTCGTTTCCATGGTAACAGTAACAAAACGAACTTCCGTTTTCTTTCTTGAGCTGGAACCAAGGTGAAATAGGACTTTTTCACGGGTTTTATCTTAGTTTGCGTGTTAAAATTTAATGCTTTTTTTCCCCTTGAACGTTTAGGTCACAGAAAAGTCGACTCTTCTCGTGTTTTTCCTAAAGTATCATGGCGAAGCAGTTCGGAGAGAAGCTCAGCGAGCTGAACCTGAGCTCGGACGAACTGGACAGATTAAGCCAGGCTGTCAGGGACGAGAAGTTCAAACAGATGTTTTGCGACTACGCCCGGGAAATATCCGACCCCGCAAATAGGGAAACGTACGAAAGGGAAATCAAACTTTTAGAGGAGGAAAGAGGAAACAGCGTCGAGTTCGTCCGCCCGGCGCCCTGGAGAGTTCTCAGAACCACCGCGGGAGGCGAGAAGTGTTTCATCAACATCTGCGGCAGTGAGAACGTCGACAAGCCTGATTGTAGGAGTGCTGTGTCGAAGGATGGCCGCAGGGGGCAGCGTTTGTCTTTGCCTCACGGCCTTTTACCTGGGAGACAAAATATAGACCCAAAAGGTAACAAACATGTGATCTATGACGTCATTTTCCACCCTGACACATTGCACATGGCAGCATTAGACAAGGACTTCAACGATGTGGTGAACAACACGGCCATTGATGGAATCCAGAAAGCATTTAAGGTGGTTCTTGACAAAAAACACGTGAGAGAGATAAAGAGTGAATACAAAGGAACCCCTCAGGCGTGTGTGATCAGGAAACCTCTGCCTGGGTATGAAGCCAAGGAGACCCCAGAGCAACCAGACCCCCTCGCCTTCCCGCATCCAGATGCTGCAAAGCCTTCAGAGTCTGGCAGCAGCGTCCAGATCCAACCACCAGCAGAGCCCAGCTACACATTGAAATACAGATCTGTTGTTGACTTACAGGACTACGTGGGTTCTAGAGACTCTGCTCCCAGGCCTAAAGAAGTTGTGGTTGTCGTCGACCTACCTCTCCTGACGTCTGTGGGAGACTCGGACACCAGCCTGGTAGTTAAAGGGAAAATCCTCCAGCTGGAGTCCAAGCGTCCAGCCTACAGACTGGAGCTGCCCTTAGCCTACCCTGTGGATGAAGAGAACGCAGAGGCCAAGTTCAACACACAGCGCAGACAGCTCACCGTCACGCTGCCTGTCCAGCCGTCTTCACGAGCCTCGTTCTGCCTCCAGCCCGGGCAGAGAGGAAGAGGGATGCAGGAGGAAAAATGTCAAGAACCAGAGAGAAAAGACAACGAATGTGAGGAGCAGGAGAGAGTAGACGAGGAGACAAGTGACGAAGCACCTGAAGAGAGGAGGGAGGAACTGACAAAGCGGACAAAACAAAGCCGAGGCCATGAAAAGACGGTGGAGGACAGTTGGGACAGATCAGCAGCACAAAGGGGTTGTTGCTTCCTGGGTGATAATCCCGTTCTGAAAGAGACCACAGCTGATGATAACAGATTTGACGCTTCATCTAAAACTGAATATCAACACATTTTCACCTCTGCTGAACACCTGAGTTTGACAGAAGAGGACAGGGAACCGAAAGAAGCGTCTACGTCCGAGTCCGCTTCGGAAGAGACGACTGAAGGAGGGCCAGAGTCTGGCCAGATGACCGTCACAGACGTCACAAACGAATCTAACAGAAGAGATCTCAGTGTCGACGCCTTGAAACCGAAGAACAACGTCGCAGGTGAAGGTGACCTGCCAGCAGAGCAGGTCCTCCAGACCCCAGAGCCTGACAGGATGCCATCAGCAACACTGAGAGAGGTCGATGCAGACGGAAACGAGACAGTGATCAGTGACCACTCTACGTCTGCAGGTTTCACCTTCCAAAACAAACTGATGTACGAGCTGGACTGAGGAGCGCTTTCATTCAGCTAAGGTCAGCAGGACTTTTGACTCTAATGTTGTCAAAACCTGACTTTTCAGCATCTTTCAAGTGCATGAATTAAAGTTACAGTGTGTAGGATTTTGTCAAGTCTTTTAGCCGAAATTGAGATAATCACTAATGACAATAAAAAAACATGTCTAATCATTGCAGACAAAGACCTTGTTTTATTATTTTTACCTTATAAAAAGTTGTTTATATCTCCATGGTTGCGGGTAGGCAGCCGCCATCTTGTCTACGAAGGCTCATGAAGGACAAACTGCGGTGGCGGCGTCAAAAACGGTTTTAGTTCTTATACTATAAATGTAATATTTGTTGTCTGCCATTGTAGCTGGGATAATTTTACTTATTAAAGTTCATAATCTTACCACTTGAAACATCACTAGCCCTGAAGCTGCTGGTAGACATCGCGGTTGGAATTGTCAAAGTTTTTTGACACCTGAGAGACAC